CATTTTGGGGAGAAGGTGGGTGGTTTGCACAGGCAGGATTCCCTCAGCTGCCAGGGGCTCTGCCTGGGACTTCCCTCCTGGACTTCAGCCAGCAGTAGAGGGGTGCTGCAGTCCTCTAAGTCTTTCTGGGAGAAACTTTAATAAAAATGGGTTTTGTCTACTTCTGTGGAAACACAATCTGAGACAAGGATTTACATGCAAATAATCTATTTGGAGGTGACCCAAATAAACACCCATAGAGTGGGGAGGTAGGAAAGGGGAGGCTCTTGGTAAAGGTCAATTTCAAAAATGACTGCTGAGAAACTTTGGGAGACCATGTAGGATAGGGCACCTCCCCCAGAGGCAAGGGAGCGGTGCACTTAGCAAATCCCTGTGGGTCATTGGATGAGAGCTCCTCCCAGGATCATGAACTCTGTACTTCTAGGTTGGTTTTGTTTTGATCCCTCAAAACAAAACCCCACAAAAATACCTAGATAGAGCGCCAAGGGTATGGGCAGGCAGGAGCCTTTAGCCTTTAAAGGTGAACACCTGCCCAGAGCACTTGGGCAGGGAATCTACATCACCTGCTATGGGCCTCCTGGTGGGTGTTGCTGCAAGCTAATGGATTTCCCCAACCATGGGAAGTCATTTTGTGTGGAGATGAGGTGTTTCATCAAAGTTAAAGGGATATGAAATGACTTTTAATAATCTCGATAAATCCTGAGATCTCTGAGGGCCTGATGATGAAATCCAATCAGTACTCTCAAGGTAGATTGTCCTCTATCACAGAAGTGGAGGAGGGATTGAGTGGGGAGGGACTGTTCTCTTTGGGGGGGAAGGGAGGGAGGCTTATTACATTAAAAAAAAAAATCAGAGTTTTTGAAAGTGTTTTGAGTATGTCCTTCTCAAGTCCTTATTGATACTGTGGGGGATGACAAATTTTAAGATTAGACATAATGACAATGTAACCAAGAGGCTCAGACACTTAGGGGAGGAACCGATGGTGGCTTAGGCAGGAGTGAAGCGGTGGAAATGCATTACTGACTGTTCTGAAACAACCCAGTCCCAGAGCATAACTGACTCCAAGGTGCCCCGAGGCGAAAGGAAAAAAGGCAGGCAGATCTAGGATGGCACAGAGTGCAATTTATTCAGACACTTACTGACAGAAGGGTGGTCCTGGTCAGCAGCAAGATCAGTTAGATCACTGCACTCTGGGTCAGAAAGAAGGGATTTATATATGGCTAGGACAGAAGTGATTTTTTTTTTTTAAATCTTAGCCAGAATGCACCTACCTGGCTTATTGTAAGTTAACATCAGAGAGTCATACATATTCCTGGTGGCAGGGTCTGTTGTAAAGTCTCATACACTATGCTAATTGTTTTGTCTATTTATAGTTTGCTGGGAGCCTAGTTAGGGTTACTCGGGGGGGAAATCCTGGAGGTTAACATTCAAGATGGCTCCTGTCATGTCAAATGAAATTCATATGAGAGAGACACACCGCTTTGAGCTCTTGGTAAGAATTGAGGCAAGGTACATTTTTTTCTCTTCCCATTGGGTTCTATGAAATTCTCTGGGTAGAGTTAGCCATTTGGTAGATCTAGTCACCTTCTGATGACAGGTACCCTTGTGAGAAATAGGAAGTTCAGTGGTCCATTTTCAGAATACAGTATTTTATGTACAATTACTGAGGATGTAAGAAAGTCGGCTGAAGAGGAAATAGAACAAATGTTTACCAGCAATTGACAGCCTCACAGCCCCTTGACAAACAGGAGGTCAGGGGGAAGGGGCTGGCCTGACCAACAAAGATAAACTCCACATGTGCCCAAATGCACTCAATCCCAAGACCTTCCTGCCACAACAAAACAAAAGCAAGTAGGAACAACTAAAGGTCTATTTCTTTAACCCATCAGGAGACAGTAAAACCTAGGGGATGTTTCAACATCTTGGAAGATGGTGTACCCCACAGTACTCAAGCCATTGTGGAAGGAGGAAGCAGGGGGTGACCTTGTGCTCTAGGGGATAAAATGCTGATTGTAACAGGCTGGGGTGTGCCTGCTCCCCCCTGCCCCTGATACCTGATCTTGCAAGACCGTCATTAAAGCCTGACTGCACCTTTGTGTGTCAGTCCGTTCTTTGGGTTTGGACAGGTGAGCATGTTTCTCTCCCTCTGATCTTGCTTTGGATGCTGCTTTAATGGAAGGAGAGTTGCTTTCTATTTCCATGGGTTGCTTTCCCAAATGCCCTGCCTCCGCCTGGCCAATGAGACACCTTCTCCTTGGAATTTGAACACTGGGACATTAGAAGCACCAAAATTTGCCTGGAGTTTGTTGATGTCAACAGTGGTGTTCTAAAGAAAAGAGCTTACTAATTCCAGGAGATCATAAACTGTTGCGTTCTTTCTTTTTCAGTCTGGTACTCTGACTTCTTGTTAAGTTCTCTGAGTATCCTATGGCATTCCGGTACATTCTTGTGCCTTTTCTTAAATTAACTAGAGTCTATTTCCACTGGTTGCTCCAGAAGATCCCTGACTATTCCTGATTACTTTGGAGAACACAAGGGGATTAAAAATCTGAAGGCCCTCAAGCGAAGTTCTATGAAAACCTCTCTGTTACTACTATTTCATGCAGCAGGTGCAGAAACGGAGAAGAAGGAAAAGAAAGATGTGTTAGCATCATCTTTTCAGAGGACCCAAGAAGAGGAGGCAGAGGAAAGGGATGCCTGAGAGTGATAAAAAGGGAAAGAAGCAGGACTAGGCAGGGAGGACTTGGGATGTTCTCAACCAGTCCAAGGGGGAGCTCTGACACAGATGTCTACTTGGGGAAGTTCCTTGTTAGATGGAACTGGCCTGGCCAGTTCTCTGCTATGCTTAGTCATTAGCTGGGGGCTGCCTGGAAAGAGCTGGCCTCAGCTCAGAAGCTGAGGCATATTGGAAGGTGCTGCAGCTGGGGGCTCACTGTGCTCCTTGTGGCTGAACAGCAAGTCCTTTCTCATAGGGACATCTGAGCCACACAGCTCCAAGGCTGCCTTCTGCTGAGCACATACCATGTGCCAGACACTCTCCATTTTATCTTGCTCAGGGCTCTGACTTATCAGATTGAGACCCAGCAGAGTTATTTGTCCCTGAGATTAGTCGTGTTAGAGCTGGGATTTGTCCCTCGGTCTGTTGGGCTCGAGTATGGCTACTTCAACATTATGATGATGGCTGTTGCTGTTACCGTGTCATTCCTGTGATCAGAACTTGGGTTCTGGAGCTTACTGGCAGCTTGCTGTGCCCCAGGCATATTCTGTTTGGGTTGTGTGTATGTGAATGCACCTGAGTCTGTTTAGGGTTAAAAAACACAGATTTCACGGGGCACGGTGGTGCACACCTGTAATCCCAGCAGCTGGGTAGGCTGAGGCAGGAGGATTGCAAGTTCAAATTTAAAATGGCTGGGAATGTAGCTTAGTGGTAAAGCACCCCTGGGTACTAAAAACAACCATAACAACAATAAACCCCGCCCCCCAAACCCACAGCTTTCTACTTAGTGCTGAATAATATTCCATTGTCTGGATGTGCCAGTTTATCAACCATTTATCTACTAAAGGGCATCTTGGTTGCTTCCATGATTCAGTAATTAAGAATAAAACTGCTATAAACATCCATATGCAGGTTTTTGTGTGGACCTCAATTTTCAACTCCTTTGGGCAAAATGCCAAGTACTGTGAATACTGGATCCTGTAGTAAGACATGTTTAGTTTTTTTTTTTTTTTTTTTTTTTTTTTTGAAGAAAATGCCAAACTGTTTTCCAAAGTGGCTGTACCATTGTGCATTTCCCTAGCAGAGAATGAGGAGCTACTGTTGATTCCCATCCTCACGCATTTGGGGGCCATATTCTCTATTTTGGCTATTCTAATGGGGTTGCAGTGGGGTTTCATTACTGTTTTGATTGGCATTTCCCTGATGACCTGATGGGCAGCATCTTTTCCTTTGCTTATGTGTCATCTCGTCTCTTTAGTGAGGTGTCTGTTAAAGTCTTCTGCCTATTTTAAAACTGAGTTTTCTTAATGCTGAGTTTTAGGAGTTCTTTGTATATTTGGGACAACGGTCCTTTATTATGTCTTTTGGAAATATTTTCTGGCAGTCTGTGGCTTGTCATTTTGTTCTCTTAACAGTCTTTCATGGAGCAGAAAATTTAATTTTAAAGAAGTCCAGCTTACCAATGTTTTCTTTCATGGTGTGTATCTAAAAAGTCATGACCTATGCCAAGGTCATCTGGCGCTATCCAAACAATGAAAAGACATGAAGGAAACTTAAATGCATATTAATAAATTAATGAAAAGGCTACATACTGTACGATTCCAACAACATAACATTCCAGGAAAGGCAAAGCTAACATCAGTGGTTGCCAGGGATTAGGGAATGGGAAGGATGAACAGGCAGAGCACAGAGGACACCCGGGGCAGTGAACCTTGTGAGAGACACATGTCATTCTACGTTTGTCCAAATCCATAGAATGTACACCACCAAGAGTGAACCCTAAGCCAGGGACAGTGGTGCACACCTGTAATCCCAGCAGCTTGGGAGGCTGAAGCAGGAGGATTGCGAGTTCAAAGCCAGTCTCGGCAGAAGTGAGGCATTAAGCAACTCAGTGAGACTCTGTCCCTAAGTAAAATACAAAATAGGGCTGAGGATGTGGCTCAGTGGTTGAGTGCCTGAGTTCAGTCCCTGGTACCTCCTCACCCCCCCCCCCCCCGCAAAAGTGAACCCTCATATAAACAATGGACTTTGGGTGTCAATCATGTGTCACTGTAAGTTCCTCAGTTGTAATAAACACACCACTCTGGTGAGGGATGCTGGCAGCAGTAGCTATGAATGTGTGGAGAGGGAAGATACTGGAAACGGATGTACCTCCCACTCAATTTTTTTCTATGAACCCCGAATTGCTCTAAATTAATTAAATTAATTAAAACAAAGTTGAAAAATAAAAATAACAAAATACCCAGTTTTCTTTCTCATGTGCCTTAGTTTAGATTCCATCAGATTCTGAGACCTGTAGTTTATTTGGGAGAACATTCCAAGATGCAGGAGTTTGGGGCGTCGCAGAGGGTATGAGAGAGGGGAGGAGTTATGAGCCAATAAAGCGGGCATCTGTGGTCACATGGGCAATGGGGGCTCCAACTTTCTGGGGAATCACTTGAGGACTGAGCAGAATGTTGGGGCAACTGTGTCTTCCATGCTCGCTTGGTGGAAGGCGGCCCCAGGGGTGTTCCCAGGTACTTCCCAGCAGATAGAGCCTGCATTTGGACTGAACAGACCCCTGTGGCTCCAGAAACAGCCTCAGGTCCAGCCCTCGGGTGGAGTGGATACAGTCAGCCTCAGGGAAACGTTCCATTATAGTGACAGGGCACTCAGAGGTGGCTGGGACGATGGTGGGGGCATCCATGGCACCTGTCGTTCATATATTCAAGGCTTACATAAAGAATCTGACTGTAGTTTCAGGGTATCTGATACCTGTGGCTCAGGATTCTGGAGGAGTAGTAGCCTCCACCATACCTGTTAGGGCACTGCATTAGTTTGCTAGAGCTGCTATGACAAAATATTACAAATGGGGCCGCTAAGACGACATACACTTATTTCTCTCAGTTCTGGAGTGAAGAAGTCCAAGAGGAAGGCACTAGCAGGCTTGGTGTCTCCTGAGGCCTTTCTCCTTGCTTGCAAATGGTCACCTTGCCATCTCCTCACCAGGTCTTTCCTTTGAGTGCTCCTCCTTGGGTCCTCTTCTTAGGAGGACACCAGGATCCCACCTTTGCTACCTCATCTAACTCGAACGACCTCTTTCAAGCTCTATCTCAAATGCAATCCTATCCCAGGTTAAAGCTTCCACATAGGACACGAGGGAGACATAATTCAGTCCATAACTGACTTGACGACTGGTGAGGGGAGCTGACTGAGCCATACTTCCTCTTTTTACTGGTCCCAGAAACACTTAAGTGAGAAGCCGAGGGTCATACAGCTAGCATGGCAATATGGTGCCGAGTCAGAGGTAAATCTGTCCAAGATGACTTCCACACCTGGGGACTGCCCAGACCAATGGCCTTCTGGACATCACGCCCCCATGGTCTCCTGACCTTGTTGGGGGCCTTTCGTAAGTGCTTCCTCTGTTCCCTCAATCTGGGAAATAAGGGAGCTGGGTTAGGCTACCAGTACCTAGATCTGTTCCCCCTGTGTATTTAAAAAAAAATTTTTTTTATTTGTTCTAATTATACATGACAGTAGAATTTTTTTAATTCTATTTTTTAAAATTTGTCCCCTGTTTTTTATATTGGTAAAAACTCGGGGGGGGGGGATGGGTATTGTTACCTGTTAGGACTGTTCTAACGTATAATCCATCTTTTAGGAGAGCAATTTGATAAAATATTTCAAAAGTTCTAAAGAATGTGCACATCTAAGATTCTTCTCTTATGGTACATTCCCAGAAGGGAATTGCTGGGTCAAGGTTGAGCTAGGAAGTGAGTCGCTATCATTGTCTTCTCACATTTTACTTTTGTAAACATCAAAATGCCTAACACCAAGGGACTGAATAAACAAATCATGGTACCTTATTCAGGGGAACATGTGGTCCTAAAACGTGATTCTGCAAAGAACATTTAGTGACTTGGAAATCATTTTTTTTTTAAACAATATCAGAAGACTAATTACAGAGCAACCCACAGTGTGGTTCTCTCCGTGTTAAAAAATACAAAGAGCTTCCAGGATACCCAGGGGGAAAAGTGGTTACTTCAGTGTGATGGGATTGTAGAGATTTTATATTTTTATTTTGTGAAGTCACACTACAAAACATTGCTTTTGTAATAAGAAATCCCACAGAAACAGGTGTTACATTAGAAAATAATCTACCTCATTTGGCAGATGTTGCTGGTCGGTGGGCTCTTCAGGGATTGCTAATCCTTTCTTGCTGCCTAAAAATTTCCACCTTCTGCACTAGAATCTTTCCCAGTTCCCTGGCTGCTGGGGTGGTCAAGTGATATGGTTTTAGCCAGTGGAAGTGGAAATCTGCTGGGTGGAGGTAGATGTTTCTGGAAAGACTGTTTTCAGATAAAAGGGTTCTTGCACCTTCCTTTTCTCTCTCCTGGAATGCGGAAGTGTTGACTTGAATGTCAGCAGCCCTCTTGTGACCATGAGGTGCAAGGGTGGTAGAACAGAAGTGTAGTGTCCAGGCTTTTGATGGCATCCTTGATTATTTCAACACCTCCCTATAGCCAGGTTCTTGCAATGGGTGATAATTCTGATATATTAATTTGGGTTAGTTCACTTATGAATGCTTTTGGCTACAAGCAACAGAGCTAGTTTTTCCTTTAGGCCCTGAATCAGTGCCCTTCCCCTGGCCCCATGCCATTCCTCACTCCCTCAAGGAGAAACGGGGGCCTTCTCATCCAGGCACCTTTTTCCCCCCAAGCTGGCTGTGCCTTCAATTTGTCACTGGTCTGAATTTGTTTGATTGGTCTTGGAGGAGAGGAACACTGAATGTCTTTTCTGACAAAGGGAATAAGGTAAGAGTCCTGTGTTCCAAACCGATCAGGGACCGCATGAGACAGCCAGCTGGCCCTGAGGACTCTTAACTCTGTGCAGGACATTGCACTAGGGAGGAAAAAGAGCCAAAGAGCCCCACACCTTGGACTCCTGTCTTGGTGGAGAAGAGGAATGTTGGAACACCACAGTTATTCCTTTGCATCTCAATGGTTGTGCGGTTTTGAAGTACGTGGTGCCATGTGAGAATGTAATGGGGGAGCCCAACTGGCTCTGGGTTCAGGGCATGCAGCCTGGGAGCTCTTCCCTGTGTCTTTAACTCAGCAAGATGTATCCAAAATTCCTGGGCTTGTACATCACAGTGCCCGATGGAAAACAGTCTTTCTTTTGACAAAAAAGAGCCCTCCCCTGTGGGCTAGACTGCGCACACTGGTAAAATGGGAGAACTGGGTGCACTGAACTCCCAGCTTTGCAGACATGAGACAGTGCCGAGAGGAGCCATCCATGGGAACAGTGCAGACACAGGGGGCTGTTTCCTTCCCAGCCTTGGCAGAAAGGGTCCCATGTTCATTCATTCAGATCATACGTGTTGGACACTTACTGTGTGCCAAGGATTGCTCCGGGTGCTTCAGAGCACATCAATGAACTAAGGAGCCCATCTCCCTGCCCCTGGGCCGCTAAGATCTAATGGGAGGAGACAAGATCACAAACAGCTTATGTGGGGGTGTCAGGGAGATGCCTGCCAGGGAGGAAGGAGGAGCAGGGCAAGGAAGGGAGGTGACATGTGGATGGTGGCACACATTCCACGGGGAGATGAGAGTGGCTTCCACCAAGAGAAAACTCAGGTCTTCTGAGGAACAGCAGGAGGGCCAGCAGGGCGGCCGTGAATCCTGGGTGGATGTGGCCCGTGGAGATCAGAGCCCCAGGACGCAACTTATGTTTCAAAAGGATTTCAGGACAGCCCTTGCCCAGTCTGTTAGCTCTCAGAGTTTAAAAAAACAAAAAACACAAGGTGGTCAACTGCGGGAGACCTGGTAACCCATATGGACTCAAGAGGCTTTGCCCACCAAGGTAACTGAGCAAGGAGGCTGTCATTTGAGTTTTATCTGATGGGTCTTTAAATGTGCATGACTTTTGTAATCACGAGAAATATCCAAATTAAAAATAAAGGCTAGAGGTTCCCTCAGGGGGTAGGATTATAGAGGACTTTCACATTCCATCCTTTGTGTCTGTAATCTTTAAAGTGTGGTTCTTCAGCAGTGCTGTTGCTTGTCATTCTGTGCCTCTAAACATGCAGGGTACCAAACCCAGCAACAGGCTGACAGCACTAACTGAGCTCAGCCTTTGAAGCCAGCCTTACCCGCACTGCAGCCTCCAGTGGAGGCAGGCATAGGAAAGGACTTGAGGTCCACATCAGGAAGCCAGTGCTTAATTTTCTCCACTGCCAGTGTTTTCTCCCCTAGCTCCAGTGTAGAAGCTGGTCATTTCTACAGAATCTCTCGTTAGGTGGCAGAAGAGCTGCTCAGGAAGGAGGGTGGAGGATGAAGCCTCCTTGGGCAGGATGAGCAGCCCTGAAAATATACAGTTGGCGAGAACTTGAGGGAGTTTCGCACCTGAGTCTGTTCCTCACCTGAAACATGGGAAGGGTAATCCTGCTTGCTTTCCTTCCCAGGGCTGATTGGGTCTATGTGAGATGGCACAGGCGAAGTGCAGGGCTTGGGGCTAATGCTAGCAAGGGAATGCTCTTTGTCCTGGAGCACAGAAATAGAGGGCAAGGCTGTGTGTCCTAGGGAAGGTTCCTTAACCTTCCTGATCCACAGCTGTAAGATGGAGTTGCAATGGCCCAGCAGTGGGCATTGCCACAGGTGTCCCTCACAGCCTTGACAATAGCACCTCTGCTTGCATCAGTGGCTCTTGCCTGGTACCACTCATCTACAACCATGACAGTTAAGACTGCCACCAGGTGCCCAGAACCTGAGGCTGCTCCCAAGCTTCATCCTCTGTAGGCTTCAGCTTTGTTGATATATTAATTTGGGTTAGTTCACTTATGGCCCCATGTCCCCTGCTGGAAACAGGAAGCCGTGGATCAAGTCTCTAGAAAGCATGTCAGAAATTTGATTTTCCTGCTTGTTCATTTTGGTCTATTTCTCCATTAAAACATTTTTTGGAGGGAGGGGGGCTATTGCCTTTTATTTATTTATAGTTTTTAGTTGTTGATGGGCTTTTATTTATTTATATGTGACGCTGAGAATTGAACCCAGTGCCTCACACACACGCTAGGCAAGTGCTCTTCTACTGAGCTACAACCCCAGCCCCTGCTATTGCCTTTTAAAATAGCAATTTTGAATTCTCTCTCTGGTCTGTGTGAGGCTCCTTCTGAGGATATTTAGGGCATTGAGGGCCGGGCACAGTGGTGCACTTCTGTAATCCCAGTGGCTCAGGAGGCTGAGGCAAGAAGATAGTGAGTTCAAAGCCAGCCTCAGCAAAAGTGAGGCACTAAGCAACTCAGTGAGATGCTGTCTCTAAATAAAATACAAAATAGGGCTGGGGGTGTGGCTCAATGAATTCAATCCCTATAGCTCGCGTCCCCCCACCCCAAAAAATTAGGGCTTTGAGGGAATAGTGGAACATCTTTGTCCCTGCTTTAAAATGTGCCCTCAATCAATGTCAAGGTGAAAACTTTTGATTTCAACTCTGTCCTTGAGACCCATGAACTCTTCCTGAAATCCCAGTCATGTGCAGTTTTCCTGGGGAGAAGACGCACAGCTTCCCTGAGGGTCTTACTATGGTAGGTAAGATGGGATAGGGAGGAACTCTTGCCTCAAATCCTCAAGTTACTATATTTTTCTTAAAAAAACAAAACAACAACAACAACAACAACAAAAAACACCCCACTTGCCTGGAGTCGGTACCTACCAAGATAGTTACTTGTAGTTGAAAAGATTTTTGGCTATTGTACAAGGAACACAGGAGACCACCCCCTTGGAAGAGGGCAAATGTTAGCAACGATTATCCGGAAAACAAGCCCAAAAGGGATACCACCAAAAGGTAAAAGAACAACAAAAAAGTTTAAATGGAATCATTGTCCTGTGTCAGCTTCATGATGTTATGTTAGGCTCAGGATTTTCATTAGGTACCATCTATAAATGGCTTCTCAGGGCTGAGACAGACACAGGTGCTTTGAGCTGGGCTTGCCTGCTTTTCTGGACCCCATTTGTTCATGAAGGAGATGGCAAATCAAAGGCAGGGCCAAGTGTGAGCCTGGGGACCCCATGGGGCTCCAATCTCTGCCCCAGCAAGTAGATACTTCCATCCCCAGGGCAAGTTACCAGAACTCTTTGCTGCCTTTCTTAAAATGGGATTGTTGTGAATTGAGAGTAGAGAAATATAAAGCCTTTAAAATATGTCCTGCATTGTTAGATTTTTTTTTTTTTCGTAATTTATTGAATTCCTAAGACTTTGTATTGGTCGAAAACCTCTTACCTTCGGTCCTCCCTGTGGTGAGGGATAAAAGCTTGTTCCTGGGCATGTTTATTGTGAAGATGGGAAGGGTCAGGTTTCCACAGCCTAGAACACCTGGAGATTTACTTTTAAGATCTGAAAAATGGGTTTTAAAAATTATTATTCAAACACTCAGTAAATGCCCTAAATGTTTCACTGGCTACCGCTGATAGGGATGGACATTTCAATACCATGCCCTTTTATCATTTGGTACTAGAGATTCTTTTCTATTTCCATCTCTCACTCCTTTTTTTTTGTGGTTCTCAAACTTGTGTGCACTTCAGAACCCCTGGGGTGCTGGTTAACACAGACTGCTGAGCTTCACCAGAGGAATTTCTATTTGCATTACTAACAAGTTCTCAGGGATACTGGTGCTGCCGTTGGCCCCAGGACCACATTCTAAGAACCATTGCTGTTTATTTGATATTCGATATTAAGTAAGTTCCTTTTAAACCCAGCTTTCACCTGATGTGCTAACGGGGGTCAGCAGACGATGACCAGTTTGTAAAGTGTGCGTCTGACAAGCCCCCTATATCCAAAGCTTTGGGTTGTCTGCGCTGGGCCTCCTCAGAGAATTCTATGGTTTGAAATACGGCTAGCTACAGCTGTAGGACCCTATGGAAGTTACAATGCAGAGATTTTAAACTTAGGGCTTCAGATGGTAGAAACTGTTAGAGCAAGGTTCCAGAAAAAGGGAGCGGGACACTCTTGGTTCTTATGGAGGGCATCAAATCTACCTACATAGAAGGTCCACAATGTTCTGGAGGGGAGGCTGTTCTCAAGTAGGATGCATTTTGGAAAAGAAGCCACACTGTGGGCAGAGGTATATGGCCCAGGGCCGGGGCTTTGGCTGAAGTCAAAAACTGGGAAGGGAGCCCTAGGGTTGTGCTTCCCAAAACAGTTGTGGGGAATGCACATCCGTCTTTGTAGGTAGTGAAGGTCACTGTGCAAGCCTCAGAAGAATTCACCAGCTAGACACCAAAATTAAATAGAGCTTCCTGCGGATCTGAAACCGTTCCCTCATTCTCTCTGGACATGACCCCGTTTTATATTTTATGAGGTTTTTAATCAGGTTCTATTACGAAGTGCTTGAAACAAGGTTAGAATCTAACCTTTTACAGATGCATGAAGGGAGAGAACACCGCCTAGTTTAGGAAATCAGAGTGGAAGCCTCTGAGAATGGAGAGGGCTTTGCTGGGTCCCTGGAAGCAAGCCCCAGGGGCTTCCCTATTCAGCTTTGTCATCTTGGCTCCTTAGAGGCATGGAGCAAGGCTCTGGACAGATCGTGGGGCCTGAGTTTAAATAGCAGTGTCGTCAATTACCAATGGGATGATGGCGTGGCTTTGGCACTTACCTGCTGGGGTATTTCCAGGGCCTGCCTGTCAGGAGGAACTGGGCCCCAAGTCAATGGCTGGCAGTACACAGTGCTCTGGGCAGCGCCTGGCACCCTGTGTCTCCTCAGCAGTGCCTGCTGCTGTTATGCTGCTGAAAGAAGACAAAGACCCGGGGCTTCCGAAGAACGAGCGCCTTGAAGGACACTCAGGGCTCAGGCTGTGTGCATTCATTCATTCATTGAGAGGACATTCTGTTGCAGAGTGACTGCTCCATGCACACACAGACAAGGGGCTGGGGTGCAGCTGCAGCGGTGAGTGGAGGCGAATGTCACCGCCTTCAAGGAATTTCTGGCCAAAGGGAAAGACACATGCAGCAGGGTCCTGCTAATGAATGCAGAATGCCAGACTGAGATGAATGCTCTGCAAGGCCAGAATTCAGCTTGCAGAGTGCGCTGAACAGCGGCTACCTGACCTGGCCTGTCAGAAGAGCGCGGAGTCGGCTCTCTCTGAAATCTAGAGGACAGACTGGCATCGATCATGGGAGGATAGTGGAGACGGAGGGCATCCTGGAAAAGGCCTTGGGACGGGGCAGAGGAAGAAGGGTTTTTGTGGAGGGAGCAAGATGCATCAGAAGAGGGGATGGGGAGCACACGAGGGAGACCCTGCCAATCATGGGTCCCACTGCAGGCAGCTTCCTCAAGGTCATGATAGAGGGTCTGCATGATTTGGAGGCAGGTTTTAAGAAGATCATGCTGAATGAATGTGGGGAAGCCAAAAAGACTTCCTGAAGAATCCCTTAGAGGGCTTGTTCACGTGTAGTTACTGGCCTGGGTCACTGTCCCCATTGGAGATTGTGACATAGCAGTGGGCAATGAAGCCAGGAATTCTGCTTGTCCCACATGTGGCAGCTGTCTCCAGGGGCCACTCTGTGAGTGATGCTATCCTGGACTCTGTTGGTGGTTGTGGAGTCAATGGTGGATGAATTCTCAGAAATGTAGTTTGTATGTTCTAAGGAGATAGTAGGGGGACCTCTCTAAAATCTTGGACTTTTACTCCGAGAGGTAAACACAATTTATTACAAATTTCAGGGATGCTCTTGGTGCTCTGGGGATGGGGTAAGAGACAGAACTTCTCAGGAGATTTACCTCCCAGGCTCTAAGGTGACTGAGGTCAAGGTGGCACTGATTAACCCAGGCTCTGTTTGTGGAACCTTGATGTTGTGCAGGGCTTGATTTTGTCTGTCTCTTTGGCTTTCAATGGGACAGCAGCAAAGCCTTGTACAAATAATGCACAGCATAAAGCTGGATCAGAGTGGGTCTGGATCTCTCGTCTATGCAAAGCCAAAGAGATGGACGTCTTCCTTTTCCCTAGTGCTTCACAAAGAATGCTGGGCAACCCCACCACCCCATCTTGGGAATTCTGTCTGAAGTCTCAAAAATGGTGGCGTCTCATGTAATATCTACTAAGCATAAAAACATTCAAGCTCTGGAGACCCCAGTTAGATTGCCAACTTTTTGAGGTCCCTGGCTGTGAGGACCTGAGGAAAGGAAGCCCACCTGTCAGTTCAGGTACGTCTTGTGTTTGGCTGTCGTCTGACATTCATGACTTTGGGCCATGTACCTGCTGGACAGCTGTGGGGCTCTCCTCCTGGAAAGGAGTTCACTCTTCAGAGAACCTGGGTCCCTCTAGGAAACAGACATGTTCCCCACATGTGTAGCTCTAAAGAATTCCATCTCTCTGGAACTGTTCCCTGAGGGTACTATCCTATAATTAGGTCCTTTCCCCACTCTACTTTGCTCCGTTTCAAAGTACTATCCCTAAAGATCAAGGCAAAGGTCTCAGCTCCTCAACACCTGTGTCTCCTGCACTTATGAGGAAATGTTCATTGGTGGCGCTTAACCCTTCTGATGGCCCCTGACACCATTTTCCCTGTGGGAAGTCTGGTAGCACCAGTGTCTCCATAGAAAGTTAATCCTGCCGGGATTGGATTTTTTTCTTTTAAAAGTGGAGTTACTCATGTTCAGATAAATAGCAGCCACAGGATGCTAGTGTTTGTGGTGCAGCCACATCAGCAGGACAGGAAGTAGAGGGCTGCAGGCCTGGGTTCTGGAGCTGGGAGGAGGTGTCCTGGGATGACCTTCTGTGAAGGGCTCGGCTGCCTCGTGGTGGACGTGGTGGACGCTTGTTGGTTCTGGTGCAGAGCTGCCTGTGGTGGGGTGTGACCCTGGTGTTGTGAAGTAGCCGTTCTCTGATTGGCAACGGCCTGATTCACAACACCAGCTGCCCCACCGCACCATGCTGGGAGATCCTGGGGCGGCTGAAGGGCACTCGATCATCTCTGCTGTGCTGTTGCTGAGAGAGGAGAGAGAGAGCAGCAGAGTTAGGACCAGGATGCAAACAGTCTCCATTATCCATCTCCCTCTCTCTTATATCCCATCTGAGAGACTTTTCTTTCTTTTGCCCGCTTCCCCATCCCGAGGGGATCCTGCACCTTGGATACAAACTTACCCAATGCATTAGTGTCTCTGGGTAGAGAATCTGCCTTCAACAAACCCTCAGAGGAAAATACAACCCTTCACAGCTTGAGTGTCTCTGCCCCACAAGGTACAGTGATTACCAGTAATTTTTAAGGTCCATTGGTAAAGCTGTTTTCCACACTGGTATTGGGGAAGAATGCAGGGATTTCCATTATTCTCTGGCCAAACGTAGATAACTGGAGATGGTTCTTACTTTGTATTCTAAGTAATATCTTCACTAAGACCACTGCTGTCTTGATTCATATGCTTATCAAGGTCCCAGACCTTGACACCTGAACTCAGAGCAGCCCCCTGTCTTCTGGGGAGAATCAAGGAGGTCAAAAGGATGGAGAGAACAATCTTCCCACCCAGTCCTCAACTGATTGGGGAACACATTCCAAATACAAAATAAGGGTGATCACTGAGGATTTGGAGCAATCAAACCAACAAAAACAGGCTAGCTGGAAAGCAACCAGGTGGCCAACCAAACAAGGAGCCCCCAGGGTGCCTTGCCTTTCTGTTAGCAAGTGACCTGCTGGGCTCATCCTTTCCCCAGCTTTAGCCCATCTGGGATATTGAGTGTTTCTGCTAAGGAAATCCAGCAGAAAAAAAAAATGGCTTTGGAACTCTCCTTTTGGTGTCTGCCTGGATTTCATCACCATTATGAAATTATGTAGTGTAAACTGACGTGAAAACAGCATTTGAATGCCTATTTCCAGGTGTCAATAAACACTTTAAATGAACAGCTCTTTGGTCTCAAATGGCTCCTGCCTGCTGCGTGGTTCTTAGTTACCCAATCAAGAAAAATCACATTTTCCACTTCCTGCCATCTATCTTGGAACCCGTTTCATTTTAAGGACACAGACTTGGCAAGTTCCTGGTACTGGATGTGGCACAGAAGTTCTGCCAAAGTTCTTGCCAGAGTTGGGGGAAGCAGAAACTTTGAGTAATTCATCAATCATGACTTAACACCATGCCCCATAAACCATTGAGGCCTTAGAGTCCAGAAATATCTGGATTTTACTGTCTATAATTCCTGCTGGGGTCTTAGGCTGTAATTGTTACACTGGGGTCTCTGTGATCCATAGACCTGCCAAGCTGAGGATTTATATCAAATGGGAGTTGTGCATCCCAGACTCCCAGGAAGGACATGGAACCAGGTGTGTGGCTCTCTGTGTGCTAGGGCAGAAGGAATGCTGGTGCTGGGGCCAGGTGTTCATGCCTGAACTCTGTGAAGGTCATACTGTGTCACTGTGCCCACTGTGTTAGGAGCGGGAAGTCCGGAGGCATGAAGGAACTAGAGGGGTCAAGGAACAGCAGGAGGAACCAGGGTAGAGAGGGTTCCAACTCTAGCTTGGCTGCCATCTTCCCTGGGTGGACATAGCAAATCTGGGTACCTCATTCCATTTAGATTGCTCATTGGATGAAGGAGGGCCCTGGAGAAGATGGTCTCTGGACTCCATACCCCCAGTTCTTTCATCTTGGAGCCTACTTACTGGACATCCAGTGTGGGGAATGGGTTGCTGTGTGGCACCCTGGTTAAACACCAGGACTTTAGAAGCAAGTGGGTCTGGGCTGAATTGTGACTTTCCCTTTGTGCCTGTGTTACTGAACCTTTCTGGGCCTCCATTTCAGTATCTGAAAAAATGTGATAAGATCAGAAAACCTGGCACACAGAAAGTGCTCAATAAGTGTGCATATTTGATGGTGTTGGTGCTGATCAAGTTAATATGGCTGGCTTTCCAACCATCAGGTAGAGAGACACCTGGGATTTCTTTTCTTATGGGACTAAAATTTCTGTGGACTGTCTTGAGGACCAAAAATCACTTACTCTGAGAATAAGGAAGCTCCAGATAGTGGGATTAGGTCTTTTATAAAGTAAGCAAGGGGACTGTGACTTGACACTGCTCATGGCTAGAGCCTTCAGCAAAGTCAATGTGCTCTTCTGTTCAAGAACGTGCGTGGGAAGGTATATTGGTACTGGGTGGGACCTGCACAAGTCTGAGAAAGTAAACTGCCATCAGCCCATGTACCGGCACCATCCCACCCCTGCAACTGAAGGGCAAAGGTGACTCGGGAATTGTCAGTTCTGCTCATGACCCCAGCTTCCTGTCTGCATCCAGTTCCACTTCTTGGTTCTATCTAGGACCCACCAGTGCCTAGTGGGTCAGAGACAGATGACAAAGAATTGATCATCTCAAAGTAACAAATGATTATCATGTTTGACTTAAAATGCTTGCAAGGAGAAGGTACCTGCAAGGCTCAGGTGTGGCCCCACCCACCTTTTTTCCCCCCTCATCCCTCACTGTTCTTGCTCTCTGTACTTTAATTTCCCTCCTGCCCTGGGGGCTTTTACACAAGCCGCTTCCTCCACCTGGCATGTTCATGTTGCATAGTTGGATACAACTTCTTCAGACTTCATTCAGCTCCATAGTCACTTCCTGGATTTCCAACCTGCCAACTAGCTCTGACTTCTCTGTAATGTGTTCTTGGGGCATCCGGCACTCTTCCTTCACAGCACTTATCATGGAATGAGTGGTCTCCCAACCTCACCAGTGGATCTCCAGCACTGGCCACCTGGGAGATGCTTGATGAATACTGGCTGGGAATTCATCAAGCATTTAAACCAAGATCCCTGTGGCTCATTTACTCTTTTCTGAGTGCTCGTATGAATCCATCAGGAGAATCAAGATGGTACCAGGCATTTTAGGGATATACAGTGCTAGTGTGTACACAGATATTCCTAATTCATCTCCCTAACTCTAGGCTAACCCACTCTGATCCACAGGAATTGGATCAACTCTTCCACAGGCTCAGCCTGATCTGGCCTAACCTCCCTAAGATTGCCCATCATTCCCAGGATGGAGTCCTGGATTCCACAGCCCCTTCCTTTACCTCTAGCTTCTTTTCTGTCTATCCCAGTCTGTGCAGTGCAGTAGAGCCCATGGTATACCACACACACATGCTTCTCTGGATCTACATTCAACTGCAATGTTGCATGTCCCTTTCTAAGTAGAAAACTCCTCCTGCTTCAGCCTGGGCTCTGGGGCCAGCTGTAGGTGGCCTTCCTTGTCCTTTGCTCAGCCAAGTACCTGGCCTGGCTTCCATGACTTGCACTTTTTGTATGCTTCCATTACTGTTAACTCTTCTGTGTGTCTTGGTAGATGGTGACTCTAAGGATGAGGCCCTCAGGGAGTGACCTGGCAAGTCGGCACCCACACAGCACCTGGAGCACAGGAGCCTTCAGCTCACTCACGGAGTAAAGTCTTGCAAGGTGGGGGTGTGTGTGGGCACCATGATGGTAAAAATTTGTTTTTAGTGTCCCCTATGAATCTGGGAAGTCCAATTATTTGCATCTTTACTGCATTTCTTCATCTCTGTGGCCGCTCCATACCGCCAGCCCAGAGCTCTCCCTCCACCTCTAGCCTGGATGGTGGCATAAGAATTGAACTTGTCCCTCTGATTCATTCTTTGCACAGCAGCCTGGGCGACCCTTTCAACACATGAATCAGATCACATCACTCTCCTGCTTCCAAATCTCTTGCTTCCCATCATTCTGGAATAAAATTTGAACACCCTGTATAAACCCACGTGCCCCTGGTGGTCCAGCCCTCCTGCCCACCCACTGCCACCCCCTCCTCCTGGATGCCAGCTCCACTCTTTCTTTCATATCTTGAAGCACAGGGCTGGACCATATGGTGCCTTCTGCAATGTGAGAAGCCAGGCCTTTCCTGCGAACAGCGCCTTCTGTCAGCTCAAGAGGTGCCCCTTGACAGGATGTGCCACCTGCCCAGTGGAGCCTGGGCTAGACCTCAGCCCCCACTTACCCTGCAGGCCCTGTGTCATACAGCCCAAAGGGAGTGTCTCTGCTGGAACACACCCTGGCCCCCTCCCTCCTCAGGGCCTTTTTTCTGTTGCCTCTTTAAGGACCTGCAGGTACCTCAGGAGCATTTTAAGAGAATGCAAGACACCTAGTATTCTGGAATTATTCATCAATTGTAATTAAAGCCTTTACTTCTTTATTTTCCACTTGGACTTGCTTATGTCCTTATTTGACAGGAGTTTTATAGGGTCAATCCAGCTCATTCTGGTTTTTTCTTTTTCTTTTTTTGACACCAAACAAGGATCACTTGGTATAGGCAATATCAAGGACATGACATGTATCTAGGCTTTATAACACCAGAGGTTTCAAATTGGGGAAATACTTTTCTGCTTGTTAGTGCTGGGGGAAAAAAAAAAGATGTCTGTGATAGAAAGTTGGGAGGTGTTTCCTCATCCACCACCTCCAGGTTTATCTCAGGTCAGCAGATTTGGTGGCAGATGTTAAACACCAATCAGACTGGCTCAGGAGGGCTGTGGGGTGGGGCAGGGGGATTTGGGGCTCTACCCCAACACCAAGATCCTGATTTAGCCTATTTGGGAGTGAAGCGTAGGAATCCATCCCTCACTCCAGGGATTCTGATAAACTGGACATAGGATCCAAGACTCTGTTAAAAACCAACATTCCTAAGGAGCCTCAGCACAATGAGAGTCTGATGTAGCCTCAAGGTGTTCAGAGGAAAATTAGATCGTGCCTACATAGCGGGCACTGTAAACGCCCAGCACCACTGTTTGTGTGTACAGGGTGTGATTCTCCACTCGGCCGCTTCCTTGCGGGGTATGTCTAGTCGACACTGCAGGGAGTTAACATCAGCGACCATCAGGAGTTGCTGGATGAACGCTGGGCTCTCCAGCCCCTCAGCTGGAATAACCTGAGCGATGCTCTACTTGGGCTTGCAGAGGTCTCCACTTGCCCACAGTGGTAACACGATTTTTATTGGCTCAACTCCTATCTCT